CGTTCATATTATTTCTCACTCTCTTTCTTTCATATTATTTCTCTATCTCGCTTTCTTTTATATTATTTCTCTCTCTCTCTCTCTCTCTCTCTCTCTCTCTCTCTCTCTCTCTCTCTGTCTTCCATATTATTTCTGTATATTTTTTCTTTCTTTCTCTAACCATACGGGATTCCTCTCCAGTTTATCTACATTTCTTTTCAAAAGAATATTCTTGCTTACTGCTTTTCATTTCTTTCTTGGACAAATCAGATTAATAATTATTCCGCAGTCTGTCGCTTCCTTGCATACAAATCCTATCTATTTATGTAGTTTATTCCTCAATTTATGTCATTTGAAAGAGTGATTTGGCCGTTGCCACCTTTCCTCAATAATCTGTTTACAGTCACATAGATTACGAAAGATCTTTTGAGCAAATATCTCGCACTAAATAAGCGATAAAAGACAAGCCATCAGCTTTAGAATTGTCGCAAGTAACTTTTTGGTCTGGCTGAGCAAAGGGTGATCGTGGGAACTACTTCAGGCATGAGAACGCATTTCCATTGTCGTACTAAACGTGAGAAATCTTCTATACAGGAGGTAAATATTCTATACAGGAGGTAAATCCTACTGTGTTTAAAGCGAAAACCTTCAGTTTCTTCAAAATGGCTTTCTTGACGTTCAGTTGCGTTACTCTCAGTGTAACAATATAAGTGTCTGTCGGTATCTTGTTAAATAGAAATTTCTGAATCAGTAAAGTAAAATGTACATCGCAAGGACTATGACGAACGATCCGGACAAATAAGGTCACTGAGAGAACTTGGGGTGTTGATAAATTATTTTTTAGGCAAATAATATACTTCTTTATAAGACAGCCTTCACTAGCGGTGAAAACAAAGAGACACAGAAAAAGGCATAGAGAGAAGAGAGACCGCACGCCGCGAAGCAAAAGTGAAGACACGCCCGTTCATCTCCCCTCATTTCGCTTCATCTCTGCCTCGCTCGTCTACAGCAGAAGGTTATAACCAGAATAAACATGGATTTACTATTACTCACATTCTTTACGTGCGTACTATTGTCCTCGTCGTGGTGTTTGTTACCAGAACGTTTCGGTTATTGTGCCTTCTTCAGTAGGCCTAACATAGAAATAAACACAATACGCTAATAAAGAAAGAAAATGACAGCAGGTTTTCAAAAGCAGCAGCAGCTATAACAAACAGAATCTTCCGTGAGTGCAGTCAAGCATGACAATCAGTAGCACTCAGCAGTCAGGGTAGGTTTAAGGCTCCACACAGAATTGTCTTATCGAACAATAGCCTAGTGGATTGCATCGTAGATTCGCAAGTTTGTGTGTAATTGGACTCGGTCGAAACAGGGCGAGCAATAAATGAATATTACTATAGAAGCACTCAATGAGATGTCCATAGATAATCGACACGCTAGCTTAAATAAAGGATTCAGTTCAAAATTTCCTGTAGGTTACCCGGATTGAGATTACATCTGATAGAAGCTGGAGAGCACAACATTTGAAAGGTTTGTGATAACAACGACAAAGATAAAAAAAAAACACCGTCGATCTCGTTGAAGACATCATTTACACAGAAAACGGATGCATCTCTCCTGAAATCTATCTTTGGCACGAACAAAAGTAAAGCAAGCTATCAGTATCATCCGAGCTTACAGGATTTATATAGGGACTATTTTCCTGATCTCTGTTGATTTTATCACATTTCGGTCCTTGTGCTCTCCAGACTTTCTCAGGTATTGTTTTGCTTTGTCCTCACTTGTTCACTCACACATTCTCTAATAAATAATCACATACATAAGTGTTATGGGACCTTACCCATGACATAATGGACTATTCCATACGTAATAAATACTGCGCCTCAAGAGGAAGCAGGGAGTTCAGTCTGAAGTCTGGAGTGAGGTCCGTCGGGAGTCTGTCAGTCAGTCAGAGCGAGTCAGTCAGTCGAGTCAGAGGCAGTCCGAAACAGAGTCGCGTTCAGACAATTACTACTAAACCTGATTGTTCGTACTAATACTTTCTACTTCTCAGTATATATTCCTGTTTGTAATATATGTGTTATTCCATATCCGTGTTCGAGTTCTTCATTATTGGTTCTACCTTTGACTATCACCGTGGTACAAGGAACCGGACCATAACAATAACAAAAGCTTAAGTACAATGTTTCTTGAATTTTTGGTGAAAATAATGTTTTCGTCATTTTAAACCATTGGCAATTTTCACTGTGGAAGATCAAACTGTAAACATCTTTTTGCTTTTGAAACTGTGTTCATAATATGTTTTTTCTCTGGGGAAGAAATATATTTTTCATTTTCAAATGAATAAATTGGAAGAAAAAAAACATTTTTTAAGCGTTACACGCCAAGCAAGGCTGAAAGGAGTTACAGAGTGTTGGAGCGAGAGCGAATACGAGTGATAGAGGAAAGGATGAAGAGAAGGATAGCGGATAGATCAAGGCATCTGAAGATGTCGATTGACATTACATTTGAATAGTTAGAGATTACAGCTATCAGGGAAAACAGGAAAAGGGTGGAGTTCCACAGTCGAGAAGTGCGAGACATGAAACTATTGGACTAGAGGGCTACATTTAACAGTTTCGGCAGTGAAAGGGTGTGAGTGAGATGCCAGCCTAGTAGAACGCTTCATGAAGTCTGGAAACCAGCGACAGCAGCTCCTCGGAGCAGTTACCGTGAAAGTATTTGTAAAAAAGACAGAGGAAGGCGACGGCACGTCTGTGAGAGAGCGACTGCAGACGAGATGCCAGATCAGGGCTAATTACATTGCATATCCGTCTCTGGATTTTATCAAGAACCTTGAGACAAACAGAAGGGGATCCAGACCATCCGCCATATCTAAGGTATTTACATTCATTTGTCTGTTATTACAGAAATGACAAAGAGCTAGAGCATATTAATATTGTAATTCTATCAGATTATCTGAAGCCTCACAGATTAGCTGTCCATTTATTCCAAAGAAAACTTATAACATTACTGAAAAAACATTATAATTTTAAAATAAAAATTCTGATCTATTTTCCTGATAGTGCCATTTCGCAATATAAAAATTTGTGCAATCATAAGGGTGACTTTGTTATTGATGCAGAGCGGCACTTTTTTGCTACATTTCATGGGAAAGAACCATATGATGGTTTAGGTGGCACTATTAAGAGATTAGCACTAAGAGCAAGCCTGTAGCAACCCTATAATGAAGAAATAGTGACTCCAAGACAGTTGTTTTATTATACAAGAAAAAATATTTCAGGGATAAATATTTTTTTTATTCCTCAACAAATGAATGGACAAATGAAGGAGAAACCTCAGAAAATAGATTAAAAAATGCCTCGACAATCACAGGAAGTCAACGACTATATAGTTTTATTCCTGTATCTCCTACTGAGATACAGGAATAAAACTATGTGGGAATAAAATTAAAACAGGAATAAAACTAAAATAATAACTCAGTAAGTAAAAACAGTGTCAATTTAGGATGAAAGTGAAATAGTTAAAATTATAAAACAGTCCAATATATAGCTTGAGAACATTAAGGGATTTGTTACAGCACTTCAGTGGCTCGGATTGAGAAATCAGAGAGCAGAGTTTGAATTCTAGTTGAATCCACTGCACTCACTTATGGGCTAATACCAATGGGAAAGGTATGAATCCTCTTCTCCCCCCCCTCCCCAGTTATGAGTATATAACAGGACAGACCGGGTTCTATAACCTTGTATGGCAACTGGTCCAACGCGGGAAAAAATTGCCTCGTCAGTCATATATCGAAAGATACATGATCACCTAAGCATGTATTATGCATGGCACATAACTGACTGATGATAGGAATTGGTGGTTAGGATATATGCTTGAAAAAATATCCTGATAATGAAGAGGAAAAATCTGAAAGAAAAAGAAAATAAATCATTAGACGCTTAAACTTGATTCATATTTAAAATCGGTTCAAGTTATTGGAATAGCCTTTATATGCAGGCACATATGCTCTTCTGTAGCGAAAATAGCTGGGGTACCTAATATCAAAGATTAAACTGAATCTTTTTTTTTTTTTTTTTGCATTGTGATCGTGCGGCCCACTAACATCGGTCCCTGACGAAAGTGTTGGAGATCTGTTGTGGTAAGGAAGCTTAAGTGTCGATCGCCGCAACCTAGTTAAATCGAACCTCTCGTTTATCCACTCGC